TTTAGGGCTTTATAGGTTAACACCAGCACTTTAAATTGTGCTTGGAAGCTAATTGGCAGCCAGTGGAGCTAGTGTAACAGCGGAGTGGTGTGCTCCCTGTACCCAGCACCCGTTAGTAATCTGGCTGCCGCGTTGGACTTGCTGCGGCTTCCGGGCAGTCTTCAGAGGCAACCCCACGTAGAGAGCGTTGCAGTAATCTAAGCGGGATGTAACCAAAGCGTGGACTACTGTGGCCAAGTCAGACTTCCCAAGGTACGGAAAAGTCTATGTACCTCTATCTATGTACAGTTGTCTGTCATGTCAATGTACAACAGCATTGAATGTTTGCCGTCTATGTGTTCTGTGATCCACTCTGAATCCCCTTTGAGGTGAGAAGGGAGGAATCTAAATACTGTAAATAAATAAATAAACTGCTTTAATTCTGTAGTGCAGATGTACTCATTAACTAACATAAGATTGTACTCTATAACCTTGCCGAACTACAGTGTGCCAGATGGAAACACTGACATGCTCTTACAGCTAAAAATGGCACATGGGGTAAAGGGATTAAGGGTGGAGTAGGAACAGCCAAGTCATTCTTGATTCCTGTTAATTAAATACAGTTCATTGAATTTTTTGTGCTATTAAACAGCCTGAGCATTAACACTTTGAGCATAATTCTGTCATTTGGATTAGATTAGGCATTCAATTAATGCAGGCATGACAAATCTTGATTAAATTGCATTGAGAACATCTCCATTTAATTCTGTTTCTTAGGGTGCATCAAAGCTGTAGAATCAATGCAGTTTGACGCCATCCGTAGTGTTGCAATGGCTCGGTGCTATGGATTCCTGCGAGTTGCAGTTACATAAAGTTTTTATCCTTCTTTGCCAAAGCGTGCAGGTGTTTCACCAAACTACAACTCAAATATTTCCATAACATTGGCCCATGGTCATTAAACTGGTGTCTAACTGCATTAATTCCACAGTGTAGACACACTTTTAGTGTCACTGCATTTAGCCCCAAGACTTAGGCCCCTTCTACACTGTCATATAACATCCGGATTCTCTGCTTTGAACAGGATTATATGGCACTGTAGACACATATAATCTAGTTCAAAGCAGATAATCTGGATTATTTACTATATGGCAGTGTAGAGGGGGCCATACTGTACTTAATGTGAAATTTCTTCACGCCAAGGATTTGTTTTCTAAACTTATTACTTTGTCCAAAATGATCAGTGATAGAAAATGCCCCACACCAGTACAAATTCCAAAAAGCAGAGACACATTTTATTATATTTATAATATTATAATTTGATACAATATAATACTAATAATACTACAATATTATAATTATATATTTTATATTACATGTAATATTACTAATACTATTACAATATAATGGTGTAGTATAAGATACTAATATATAATACCGATATTGTACTATGCTAATAATTTAATATTTTGTATGTATATATATATCTTGTAAGCTGCTCTGAGTCCCCTTGTATTAACTTAATGTTTTAATTATTTATAATTACTGTTGTTGTGTATTTTACTGTGTTGAATTGTAGGCATTGAATATGTGCCGGCTGGAAGCCGCCCTGAGTCCCCCCTAGGGGGTTGAGAAGGGCGGGGTAAAAATACCTGAAATAAATAAATAGAATCATAGAATCAAAGAGTTGGAAGAGACCTCATGGGCCATCCAGTCCAACCCCCTGCCAAGAAGCAGGAATATTCATTCAAATCACCTGACAGATGGCCATCCAGTCTCTGTTTAAAAGCTTCCAAAGAAGGAGCCTCCACCACACTCCGGGGCAGAGAGTTCCACTGCTGAACGGCTCTCACAGTCAGGAAGTTCTTCCTCATGTTCAGATGGAATCTCCTCTCTTGTAGTTTGAAGCCATTGTTCTGCGTCCTAGTCTCCAGGGAAGCAGAAAACAAGCTTGCTCCCTCCTCCCTGTGGCTTCCTCTCACATATTTATACATGGCTATCATATCTCCTCTCAGCCTTCTCTTCTTCAGGCTAAATATGCCCAGCTCCTTAAGCCGCTCCTCATAGGGCTTGTTCTCCAGACCCTTGATCATTTAGTCGCCCTCCTCTGGACACATTCCAGCTTGTCAATATCTCTCTTGAATTGTGGTGCCCAGAATTGGACACAATATTCCAGGTGTGGTCTAACCAAAGCAGAATAGAGGGGTAGCATGACTTCCTTAGATCTAGACACTATGCTCCTATTGATGCAGGCCAAAATCCCATTGGCTTTTTTTGCCGCCACATCACATTGTTGGCTCATGTTTAACTTGTTGTCCACGAGGACTCCAAGATCTTTTTCACACGTACTGCTCTCGAGCCAGGCATTGTCCCCCATTCTGTATCTTTGCATTTCGTTTTTCCTGCCAAAGTGGAGTATCTTGCATTTGTCCCTGTTGAACTTCATTTTGTTATTTTTGGCCCATCTCTCTAATCTAGTCAGGGGTCCTCAAACTTTTTAAACAGAGGGCCAGGTCACAGTCCCTCAAACTGTTGGAGGGCCGGATTATAATTTGAAAAAAAAAAACATGAATGAATTCCTATGCACACTGCACATATCTTATACACAATACAATAATTAAAATGAAGAACAATGTCAACAAATATAAACTTATTAGTATTTCAATGGGAAGTGTGGGCCTGCTTTTGGCTGATGAGATAGGATTGTTGTTGTTGTTGTTGTTGTTGTGTGCTTTCAAGTCATTTCAGACTTAGGTTGACCCTGAGCGGGCCGGTTAAATGACCTTGGAGGGTTGCATCCGGCCCTCGGGCCTTAGTTTGAGGACCCCTGGACTAGTCATTAATAAAGATGTTGAACAGGACCGGGCCCAGGACGGAACCCTGCGGCACTCCGCTCGTCACTTCTTTCCAGGATGAAGAGGAAGCATTGGTGAGCACCCTCTGGGTTCATCCATTTAACCAATTACTGATCCACCTCACCGTAGTTTTGCCTAGCCCACATTGGACTAGTTTCCTTGCCAGAAGGTCATGGGGGACCTTGATAAGAATGAATGAATAAATAAATAAATAAAGGGCAGCATATAAATGTAATATATACATGTTATATAAAATATATAATTGTAATATTGTATTATTATTAGTAAGATATTGTATTTCATTATACTATTATACATATTATATGAATTATACCATATATTATGTCATATTATTAGCATAGCACAGGAGACAAGATGGAACTGTCCTATTAATATTACTAATATTAATATTACTAATAATAATGCACCCATCATACTGGAAAAAATCAACTTATATCCCCATACCAAAAAAGGGAAATGCGAAAGACTGCTCCAACTTCCATACAGTGGCCCTTATTTCTCATGCCAGTAAGGTAATGCTCAAGATCCTGCAAGGAAGACTCCAGCAATACATGGAGCGAGAGTTGCCAGATGTTCAAGCTGGGTTTAGAAAAGGCAGAGGAACCAGAGACCAGATTGCCAATATCCGCTGGATAATGGAGAAAGGCAGGGAGTTTCAGAAAAACATCTATTTCGGCTTCATTGACTACTCTAAAGCCTTTGACTGTGTGGATCATAATAAATTGTGGCAAGTTCTTGGTGGGATGGGCATACCTAGCCACCTTGTCTCTCTCCTGAGGAATCTGTACAAGGACCAAGTAGCAACAGTCAGAACTGACCACGGAACAACAGACTGGTTCAAGATTGGGAAAGGCGTACGGCAAGGCTGCATACTCTCACCCAACCTTTTTAACTTGTATGCAGAACACATCATGCAAGGATGTGCGGGGCTTGATGAATGCAAAGCTGGGGTGAAAATTGCTGGAAGAAACATTAACAACCTCAGATATGCAGATGACACCACTCTGATGGCCGAAAGCGAGGAGGAGCTGAGGAGCCTTCTAATCAAGGTGAAAGAAGCGCGGGTTGCAGCTAAACGTCAAAAAAACCAAGATTATGGCAACAAGAATGATTGACAACTGGAATAGAGGGAGAAAATGTGGAGGCCGTGACAGACTTTGTATTTCTAGGTGCAAAGATTACTGCAGATGCAGACTGTAGCCAGGAAATCAGAAGACGCTTACTTCTTGGGAGGAGAACAATGTCCAGTCTCGATAAAATAGTAAAGAGTAGAGACATCAGACTGGCAACAAAGATCCGCCTAGTCAAAGCCATGGTATTCCCTGTAGTCACCTACGGATGTGAGAGCTGGACCTTAGGGAAGGCTGAGCGAAGGAAGAGAGATGCTTTTGAGCTGTGGTGTTGGAGGAAAGTTCTGAGAGTGCCTTGGACTGCGAGAAGATCCAACCAGTCCATCCTCCAGGAAATAAAGCCCGGCTGCTCACTGGAGGGAAGGATACTAGAGACAAAGTTGAAGTACTTTGGCCACATCATGAGGAGACAGCAAAGCCTAGAGAAGGAATGATGCTGGGGAAAGTGGAAGGCAAAAGGAAGAGGGGCCGACCAAGGGCAAGATGGATGGATGGCATCCTTGAAGTGACTGGACTGACCTTGAAGGAGCTGGGGGTGGTGATGGCCAACAGGGAGCTCTGGCGTGGGCTGGTCCATGAGGTCACGAAGAGTCGGAGACGACTGAACGAATGAACAACAACACCATAGTGGTGTAGTACAATATAGTAGCATATATTACAAATATTGTGCTATGCTAATAATACAATGTATTATATATACATATAATATATAATAATATTATAATGTAATACAATATAATGATATATAATAATATATCATACTGGCTATTAGGAATTGTGGGAATTGAAGTCCAAAACATCTGGAGGACAGGTCCAAGTTTGGCCATGCCTTTACTATAGGAAAAGTGTTTGCCAACTTGGAGTCGATGCCTCTAGTGTCATGGCGGGGAAGGTTCTAGACACCCGCGCATGCGCGCCCACGCTACGGAAAGCGGAGGGGGCTGGAGCGGCCAGGAAGGGATCACGTGCCTCTAGCGTCGTCCAATGAGAGGCCGCGGTGTCGGCGAGGCGGCTCGCGCCTGAGCCCCGCCCCTTTTTCGGCGGGTGAGGGTGTCTGGCTCGCGCTGCTGTTGCTGCCTCTGTTTCTGCCTCTTGGCCGCTCTTTTCTTGTCAGGGGAGATTCTGTTCTCGCTCCCGCCGCAGTTCAGGCGAGGAGGGAACGACCGAGGAGGATTACTATGTCCCGCCCGGGTCCGGAGCCCCGCCGTCTTTCTTCAGGTAAGTCTGAGGGGGGGAGAAGAGCAGGAGGAGGAGGAGGAGGAGGGCGGAGAGGCGATGCTTCAGGCCGTCCCCAGAGGATGGGCTGCCTGAGGCCTCCCTCCCAGGGTAACCACGACACGAAGGCGCTCACCTCAACATCACCTCCACAGCAGGACCAGTTTGAAGGAAATGTGCCAGTCATATATCACACACACACAAAATATAATATGTATATGTATGTATACATATTATATTTTGTGTGTGTGTGTGATATATATGACATACACATACATATTATATACATACAACATATACACACATACATGCTACATATATATATATACACACACATATATATGGTATATATACATACTACACATATACATTCACACATGCATACATATACATATTACACATATATACATACCTATACATACTACATACATACATGCTACATATATAGACATGCATATACATCATCTTCTATATAAATAAAAATGTAATGTTCGTTTGTGGGATTGACATAACCCAGAAACCACTGGACGAACTGACACCAAATTTGGACACCATACACTTATCAGGCCAACAAATGACCATCACTCATAAAAATACTGAGAAACACAGCAGAAGGGACTTAAAAAGCCAAACAAGAAAAATACATTACACCGCATGCACAAAACCACATATATACACACATATATACATACATACATATACACACATATACACATACATGCTACTTTTATACACACATGCATATACGATATATATATATACATACATACTACACATACATTCACACATGCACACATGCATATGTAGTATGTATAGGTATGCATATATGTGTAGGATGTATATCCTACACATATATGCATACCTATACATACTACATACATACATGCTACATATATAGACATGCATATACATCTTCTTCTATATAAATGAAAATGTATTGTTCGTTTGTGGGATTGACATAACTGGACAAACTGACACCAGATTTGGACACAATATACCTATCAGGTCAATGAGTGACCATCACTCATAAAAACACTGAGAAACACAGCAGAAGAGACTTGAAAAGTCAAACAAGAAAAATACAATACAACGCATGCGCAAAACCACATATATAAACAAATATACACACACGTAAATGCATACATACATATACATACAACATATACACACATGCATCTACGGTATATATACATACTACACATATACATTCACACATGCATACATATACATACTGCACATATATACATACCTATACATACTACATACATACATGCTACATATATAGACATGCATATACATCTTCTATATAAATAAAAATGTAATGTTCGTTTGTGGGATTGACATAACCCAAAAACCACTGGACGAACTGACACCAAATTTGGACACAATATACATGTCAGGTCAATGAGTGACCATCACTCATAAAAACACTGAGAAACACAGCAGAACAGACTTAAAAAGCCAAACAAGAAAAATACATTACAACGCATATGCAAAACCACATATATACACAAATATACACACATATATGCATATATATATACACACAAAACACATATACATAGACTGGGACACAGCAATGTGTGGCAGGAGACAGCTAGTACACACACATGCATATGCATACTTATATGCACATGCATATATATATACACACACACTTTTTTTTGTTGTGTCAGGAGCGACTTGAGAAACTGCAAATCATTTCTGGTGTGAGAGAATTGGCCGTCTGTAAGAAAGTTGCCTAGGGGACGCCTGTATGTTTTTGATGTTTTATCCTTGTAGGAGGCTTCTCTCATGACGCCACATGAGGAGCTGGAGCTGATAGAGGGAGCTCATCCGTGCTCTCCCCAGATTCGAACCTGCGACCTGTCGGTCTTCAGTACTGCGGGCACAGGGGTTTAACCCATTGCACCACTGGGGGCTCCTATATACACACATACACATACTACATATATACGTACACACATTTGCATGCTACATATATAGATACTATACACATGCATTCACACATGCATGCATATACATTTAATACTGCAGATATATATACACATACATATGCATATACATATGCATTTAATACTACATATATACACACATATATATCTCACACCAGAAGCAACTTGCAGTTTCTCAATTCACTCCTGACTTGAAAAAAAAGAAAAAAGCACATATACATACTATGTATATACACACATATACATAGCATATATACACACACAGGCATACATATATACATATACTACATACATATACATACTATCTATCTATATGTATATATTGCATATATTGTTCAAAGTTGCTGAGTTGGCCCAACTTTCCAAATAAATGGACAGATCCATGAAGAATTTTATGAACACTTGGAAACCCATTTATGAGCTTTTTTTTAATCATAAGGAATCTTAACCATAAGGTGTAGCTCTGGTTATTCATCAAAATGTGTTAGGTTTTCTTCAATGGGTCTTCAGTGGTGGAATTTTGTTTCCAAAAGGTACCAAATCCTGACCCCAAATTGAGAAGGGAAAAAGAGTTATAGGTGGTAGCCCAGTTGTTGGCAAGAAGTAGAATATTATACATGCCGATCAAATCTATGAACATGTTTGCAAATGGAGTAGAATATTATAAATGAAGATCAAAGCTATGAGCATGTTTGCACACACTTTGATCCAAACCTAGGGATAATTGCATTTCATAGCAAAAGAAGGGATATCCTTAGCACCTTTTGCAATTCCTGCAAAAATTTCTTTAGGTGGATTTGGTACTTTTGGGGGAAAAGCTTCATCGCTCTATCTCCCTTCAGAGCTGACCTTTTTCTTGCAATTTCTTTGCTTGTATATTTATTTTTACACTCCCTCCCCCATTTATACACTCATTAATAGGATTTTTTATTTTTATTTTTAAATCCAGTAGTAGAGGTCCTGTTGAGGAGGAAAGTGCAACGCTTGTTTTCTTCTGCTCTGGGGACTAAGGGCCCTTCTACACTGCCATATAAAATCCAGATTATCTGCTTTGAATTATATGGCAGTGTAGACTCGTATAATACAGTTCAAAGAAGATAATGTGGCTTCTCTTGTTTGATAATCTGGATTATATGGCAGAGTAGAAGGGGTCTAAGACACAATGGATCAATTGATTCAAATTGCAAGGAACGAAATACCACCTGAACTTCCTGATGGAAAGAGCTGTTCCAACAGTGGAATATGCTGCCTAGGAGACCAGTGGAGTCTCTCCTTCTCTGGAGGTTTCTCAGCATAGGCTGGAAGGCTATCTGTTGGAGGTGATTTGATTCTGTGTTCCCGCTTGGCAGAAAAGGGTGTTGGACCAGATGGCCCTTGTGGTCCCTTCCAACTCAATGATTTTATTATTCTAGCGAAGGATTTCCTAATAACAAGTGAAACATCAAGTGAGGTGTTTTGACATTATGAACAGTGCATGACTGGGCAGGAGCTCAGTTTGAACACCTGGCATGTTGAAGAGCAATGTCGATTTTCCTCCTTCCTCTCATTCTGTGCCAGGCTCACTGCAGACTCAGCCAGACTGTGAATAGATGTGTTTGTTTCCCCTGCAGTTCTCTGCAGGTTGATGCAGGCAATGAGCAAAACTCTTGCTATTGGGACCTCATCTATACCAGGGCTTCTTAAACTTTTCCCACTCATGACTCCCCCTTCTGCTCAAGAATTTTTTTATGTGACCCCAGATATATAGGTATATAACAGGTATAAAAGTCAAACACTTGCTGATAACAAACCAGCATTTGCAAGGCTTGCTCAATAGTCTAGTTTCCCTTTTTGCAGGGTACAGCTGAAGCAGTATCTGCAGAGTCCATTGTAAACACTACACGTTGTTGTTAACCGATTGTCAAATTTTGTGTGACCCTAACCTTGAGTTAAGGGGACCCCAATTGGGATCATGACCCACAGTTAGAAGCAGTCTATACAACATTTTGCCAAATAATGTACAAGATCTTTCTGTTTGTTTATATGCATGTCACTTACCTGGGAGTAAGTTCCATTTGACTTGACTTCTAAATAGAAGTTCATAAGCCAACATACCATAAAAAGAAGAAGCGAAGATAGAAGAGACAAACTGCAGCCCTAAGCAGCTTGCAGTCTGAGCTTTGAAAAGGGAGAAATAGCTGAGAGCAGTGGACTTCCATCACTTTTAGAAGAGAAGGGAAAACATTATGTGCATTGATCTGGTAAAAATCACTTGTGTACATATAATTTTTAAATAAATGCCCTTCTCTTTCATATTCCTTGCTTTCTAATCTCCTGTTGCTGCAGTACATGGAGGCAGTTATTCAGAATCACTGAATGCATATTTAAATGCTTGTTTTCTGTCATTCAGTCAACAGTTTGAGAAATGGTACATTAAAGGTGTAGGGTTCCTCTCATGCCTTTGTAGGATTATGGATATTCTTAATCTGAAGTTGAAATTGTTATCTTGCATATTGAACTAGCCATTTGTAGGTTCCAAAGTGCAAGATGTTTTTCACATAGGAAGGTGAAATCCTGACTTTGAGATACTCTTTTCCTGCTGCACGTGAACACTTTTTTTAGTGTTGAAATATAAAAGATCTTGCATTCACATTACAAATTGTTTTAAGGAAAGGTTGATGTAAAGCTGTAGATCTGAGTATACTTTTTATGAAGTAAAATTAACTGAATTCAAGATTAACGCATGTCTGAAGGATTCATCTCTGAATAAGTGGTTAGATTTTTCTTTAATTAACAGTTCTTACATCTGAGATGTGTGTCATTCAGTCTGTTGCTGTCAAAATAAATAAATGAATTTATATAAACACTATAAATTAATTATAGTGTTACACTGAAATATGTTCGCTTATCATACTTTACATACATGCGAAGTGCAATTCCCCTTTCTAACAAAATGAAGAACAGTATAGCATACTACTGTGTTTACATTCATGAATTTTTATGTCCTGCTGCGGTCCATGGTATTTGAACATGGCTATTTGAACGAGCCTTCGGAATCTAATGCAACAG